TAGCAATGAAGTTTGGCACCCAGGGGAAAGCCCATAGCGGCAGCTCGCCTTTCTCCAGTGCACAGATCCAGGGGGCACATGCCCCGCCCCCCCATGCTTGCCCAAGAGTGCATGTAGCAGTGGGAGCCACCCTCCCCACGGCCCCCCTGCAAACAAGCAGCTCACGGCTCTGTTCCATGCCCTTCCCTGGCTGGGCACTGCCCCTTGGTGCCCCTTCGCTTTGGCGTCTGGGGTGGTTGCCCTGCTGGCTGCCCCCCTCCCTTTGCTATGACACTGGCTCTGGTCATTATAGAGTCAGGGGTTGCCTAAAACCTGAAGACTTTCGAAATTATCTTTCTACATTTTTTTGTCGGGAAGGGTATAGTAGCGTTGGGAACAGGGGCCAAGAGACTAAAGGAGGGCTGGGTGAGTGATGCTGAAGAGAGTGAGAGTCAAGGGAGTGGAGCAGACAATTCTGTTCTCCCATCCATTTGTTTCTGGCACTTTCCCTCAGGGGAAGATCCTCCACTAGGAAGATCAGAAGCCCTGTGCCTGTTTCCCACGTTGTGGCAAAGCAGCTTGTGTTTTGGGGTAGGAGGGAGAAGAGAGGTAAAACAGGGCAGATAAATAGAGGGAATCTGAAGTGAAGCAGATAGGAGTACAGGAAGAAGTGCCAGGTCCAAGGAAGCAGAAATGGAGAACACAAAGATGGAGCAGGAGAAGGAGATGAGAAGCCACTCCTGACACTGCTGCCCTGGGGAAGCAGCCCTGCCATCTATCCCACCAGAGACCAGAAACATGGAAAACCTCTGCAGGAGTGCAGACAGCATCAGGGTTCATGCATATGGATTTTTTGCAGGACTGTGTAGACAGGTTGGTCCCTCTTGTGAACATGAGATGCTGGGCTCTATCATTCAGCTTGCCAACAGAGCTCCTGTACACATGCATAGTGCCACAGGAAAATAGTGTTAGGATTGAGCGGATATGATTAGTAAGACTAAGGCTCTGCAATGATGCTTAAGGAAGAAAGTACTAATACCACAGACTTGCTTGGCCCTCGTGATTCCAGTGGTGTCCAATATGGCACAAGGCAGTATAGATGCGCACCTATATAGACTAACTAAATAAGATACATAGAGAAAGCACAAGCTTTCACAAACCCAAGTTCACTTCATTGGATGCTGTGACAGGACAGCAGAGAGCAGAATGACTGATTGGAGTACAAAAGGCAGGAGGGAGAGGGTGCGGGGAAGGGAAGGGGGGAGTGTTGTGAGAGGCATACAAGCAAAAGACCCAGAGGAGCAAAGGGGTCACAAAAGCTAATCCAGGTAATGAGATATGCCACAAGCAATAGGGTGATGAGCCCAGAAAACTTATTTCAATTTCCCTTCATTTTAATGCTGTACAACAGAGATAAGTAATATTCCTTAGGGCCCCTGTTAGTAATGATGCTGAAACAAAACTGACAGACAGAATAAACAGTATTCCTGAGTGCAAGAGTGGAAGACTTTAGACATGTCCTCTCAGGTATTCAAGACAGAGGAGGACACCCAGGGGCAAGGGAAGCTCTGAGTACTGATGGGCTGTCAGTCTGTTAACAAGTGGCTCCCACAAAAATCCTATTACTGTCCCTTAGATAAGCCCTGGACTCTCAGGGTGCAGAGGCAGTGCAAGGGGCCAAGGAGTCTGCCAATTTATTTGTCAGGTTAAATTAAAATTCTCCTGTAACCCAATCTAGAAGTGGCATCACTGGGCATCACACTGATCATATAGACATTCATGAAAAAGAATAGTTTCCTCCGAAATAGAGATGGGAAATAGGGATGACAGAGCATATCAATCAATTCAAATAGGTGGGAGCTGCAATGGAGTCCAGGACAAACTGGTCTATTATCAGCAGGTAGGTGGGCCTAAGAATGAACAACAGCAATAAACATCTGCAACTAATGGTATAACTGCCACCTGCATTTAACCAACCAAGAAACATGGAGAAGAGCAACCTGTGGTGTGCTGGTTGGACTTTTGCTGAATCCTCAAACTTGGTAGTCAGCTGTTGAGATCTCTCACTGAGTCTCTCTTCTGTTTGCTAAATGTAGAGCAGTTTTTTAAGCATATCCAAATGAGTGTTTTTGGATTCTCCAATGTACAACGTTTACAACACTAAGTACTGTCTAAAGTAAAACAGTTATCTGCGTTATACAACAGTGGTATGGAAGAAAGACAATAATTACCATCTTGGTTGTGATTTATTTTTTGACTGAGATGCTGCTGCAGATCTTTGGGAACAAACCTGTATAGGAAGAGGGGGAGAAAAAACCCCTGAAACAACAACTGCTAGGCATTTTTTCATTGTATTCTACTACCATAAATGCGTAAGAGACAGTGAGCTGTTGGTCATGAAATAAGGCTACACACCTCTTTTTGGGGTGCAACATGCTGCCTCTGCTATGCCTAACCATTTCTGCCAACTGGGGGCAAGGCCTGACCTCCTTTCCATTCCTTCCCCCTGCACAGGTATCTTGCTGTCCCCATGACAGGGAGTAGAAGGGAGTATTCCCCATACTCTGGAGACTGTAGGGACTGCCCTTGTGCATTCCAGGAATTTAGAAGACATTGCTTTTCTGCATCCCCTCATGTTTTGTACATGCAGTACAGCTGGACACAACCGGCTCTTAAAATATGGGACAGGGAACACACCCTCCTGGGATTGTCAGGTGCACACAACAGGATGATACTATCAGGACACATACTGGTGACACAGCCCTGATCCTGCAGTTTTTGCTCAAGCAAAAAAGTCCCACTGACTTTGACTAGCAATTTCTTGCACAGACCAATCTGCCCTACTTATGTGTATGGTATTTTTCTTTGTACATGGCCCTGTACTATCCAAATACCCACTAAAAAGAAAGACTCCACCCCCAGAGCATTAAAAGTATAAGCTGAGAAGCAAAAGGTGGTTGTGGTGCACGATTACAAGATAATAAAAAAATGCAAATATGTGGAAATTGGGTCTGATCCCTATCTGTAACCATTACCACTGTGTCCTTTTATTTAGTCCCTTACTACTGCCCTATCTATGGCCAGGCAGCAAGAACAGGGAGGAGCTACTTCTTTCTAAGAAGTAAGAAACCACACAGGCACAGATCAAATCACTGCATTTAATAGCTATACCCAAATCACCCAGGCCTACCTACCTACAGCTATCTGCTCTGATTGGCTTTTGGCAGCTTCTAAAACACAAAACATAATGAAAACCACAACAAGGCTCACAGACCATTTAAAGCAGGGGTGGGCAAAATGCGGCCCAGGGGCCGGGTGCGGCCTGCCAGGCCATTCTATCTGGGCTGTGGGACCCCTAAAAAATTTAGAAAATTAATATTTATCTGCCCTGGGCTGCCTGTCATGCGGCCCTTGATGGCTTGCCAAAACTTAGTAAGCGGCCCTCTGCCCAAAATAATTGCCCACCCCGGATTTAAAGGGATACTATACTATTCCTGTATACTACAGCTACCACTTATATAATAGACAAATGGATTTTTTGACTCACCTCAATGATACAAATCACTGCAATAACAGCCATTACCACAACAGTCACTGATATTGCCAACAGCAGCTTGTTACCATAGCCATATTTAGAAGAGTCCTTGGAAAGCTATTAAACAGAAACAAAATAGGAGAGAGTCACTTTCTCGACTGGCTGTTACTCAGAGGGAAACACTTCTCAGGTTATCTCATTGCTTACTTCCTCTGAAAGCTTCTTGCCTGCCACCTTCTGCTTTTCTCTCTCATCGGAAGAGCTGTCCACTTCCCAGAGATAGTGGCTCCACAAAGAGGAGCTTCCTTTGAGATCTTCCCTCTCGCTGAACAGTTTCATGAGCAGGCCTGTCTTAGAGATGAGCTTTGCACAGGCCAGCTGCACGCTGGGCTCAGCACAGTCCATTTTCAGGGTTCTAATCACGTGGGAGATGAGGTCCCTCACAGCTTTGTTTGGGATGAGGGTGCTCAATCGTCTATTGAGCTCCGCTTCAAATATGTCTCCTTGAATCGAGTAATTACTTGGAGGGGATGAATTTTTTATTTCAGATGGAAAATCAAATTCCTCTTTCTGATCCTTCCATTCCTCTTTCCGACGCTTCCAGCGCGTTTCATCAGTTTGTTGGATGTTAGGTAAGATTCCATCTAGCAAGCTTCTTCCATCTTCTGGTGGCTTTTCCAACACCATAGCTGTCCTGCTTGTGAAAACAGGATTTTTGTTGGGTAATAGATTATCCAGTTCATCATCTTTACTTTTCATCTTGTAGCGCTGCATACTTTCCTTCAGCATACGACTCATGTACGGACTCTGTCTGTGAAGTGTATTCTCTAGGAGATATTGATTTTTATTTCTCTCCTGGCTAGGTTGGTAGAAAACGGGAACATATTCTTTAACAGGTGGACGCTTCACCTTTTCAGTTTTATTGTGGTGTTTCAAGACAACGATGATATTACCTGTTAAGTCATGAGACTCGTTTTCAACCTTAAAGGAGCCGGTCAAGTGTGTTTCCTGTGTAGGGAGGTCTGAAAGGGAACGTTTCCTGAAGGAAGGAATAGATACTTTATGATGCCTAAGAACAGATAGTGTGCTGGAGGGATTTAAAGTCACAGCTAGCATTTCTTTGCTTCCTTTGATTTGCAGGACCTCTCTCTTTACCATCCTTAATTGGTTATCTCCCCCTTTACTTATACATCTCCACATATAATCAACACATTCCTTTATTTCTTCAGGAGTTTTCTTTGCAGCCATGTATCCAGTTAGTTTCTCATCACATTTCTGTGCAAGGTCCTTACAAATCTTTTTGGTTTTCAAGTGATTGTTTGGCGTTGTCAGGGACACATGTCTGGCTTCCTTTTTTGGCTTGTCTTTTTCAGCCTCATGTAGTTTTTCACGGAGCACCGTTGCTAGCAGATTTGCCAACAGATATAGTTTTTTCAGTTCACTTAAATTGGCCCAGTTCAGATTTGACTGATCTTTAGGAAGTTTTAAATGATTTGAGGCTTTTAGGTGTAAGTCAAATTTGAACAGTTTAAAAAATGGCAAGACTTCCAGCTCTGTGCTATTTTTGTCAGGTTTCTTGAAGAGATGCCTAGGGTAATTGTCATTTAACCCAGAAATAAGATCCTCAACAGCCATAGTAGTTCGATGCTGGAAAGTTGCAAGTGATAGGATGTCACTGTCACTCTTGGAGTGTAAAAATTTTTCAGACTTAAGATGTAACACCATGCTTATGTTCGGTTTCCTGGATTGTAGCACTTCTTTTAATTCTGTTTGCATCTTTTCTAAATGTTCTTTGGTTGCTGCTCAGAAAAGGAGATAGAGAGAAGATAGATATCCCCCTAAGTCAAGAAGACATTTCTGGCAAAATATAGAATCACAGATTTATGCCAGGCAACAGACACCCATTACTTAATATAATGGAACAACTCAATGGGAATGCATATTAAAGAAAATCCCACCTGAAATGTTTAGTAGATAAGCTAGAGAAAGGAAAAGTCCTGTTAAATCAATCAGTCCATCTTTTGGGGCCTGAACAGATTGATGTTTATACATCACATCTTTTCTATATCTCCTATGAAATTGTAGCATAATACAGTACTAGAGAGAGAAGGCTTCAAGGACATGACCAGGGGCCTACTGAATTCACAGCAGATGTGGGCTGCACAGCAGCTCCTTTAATTTTGCAGGTTCCCCCGCATGCGCCCTACCCCGAGTGGCAGAGGGGCTCAGCTGTTTGCTCCTGATCAGCAGGGAGGTGAAAACCGTGGTTTTAAATATAACACCGTTTTTGCCTCCTGGCTGGTTAG